GGGGACAGACGCTTTTTTTTGTTAAGCCAATTCTTCATTTTTTTTTTTTTTTTTGATTATTCAAGTCAGTTAACTCACAACTGATTAGGAGGGAGAATGTTCAAAATGAAACGGCCAATTCAAATAACGAAGATTATAGATTATCCGAACTAAAAATCTGATCTGAGAAGTGATTGCGATTACCATGTGCAACATAGCCGCTTTTATAAATAGTTTTATGTTTATCACAAAAAATGTATTGATAAGTTTTGGACTATGCCATCAGTTTTGAACTTTGGACTATGCCATCATGAACTTCTGTTCAAGTGTACTGCCATAAAATTTCTTAAGATTCGAAAAAATTTTTGCGAAAGTAAACAGATCATCCGAATGAAAAAATGATAACAATGATTTCATCACAGAATGCCTCCAAATACCTCTTATGCGCCCAAATGATTTTTGTGCTTAGCTTTTAGGGTTTCCGTTCCACTTTACAATGACGGTGCTACTTTAAGGTTTCGTTTTATGGTTCTAAGATTTTTGCCTTTTTAAGGGGTTTTTTAAGGGCTTTTTTAAAGGGTTTTTTTTCGAGTATCGTTCTATAGAAAAATATGCTTCTCAAACAGAAATTTTTGTTATAATGGCGTTCAGTATGCGACTACGTCCCAGTTCCATCAATAATATCAAACTCTCGCACCGGTTATGAGTGGGATTTTGTTTTTAACAAAAAAACAAGCAAGTAGTCTGTGAAAGGTAAATTCAACTTATTTTGCCCTTAGCGTATGCAGCAGGTGAACGGATCGAGCATGCGTTTTTGTATAATTTTGTCAAGCGCGTTTGCTATCAAGAATATTCAGTGTTTCAGAGTTTGAATATGCGTTCTAGTCGATTATTTACGATTTACAGTTATATTCATGCGCAAAAATGAAACTTCGCCGTTTAGATTATTATAACGGGAGTGTGATTATTATCGTGATAATGTGAAAATGCGGAATTTCAGGCGCTCTTACGGAAAGCATGAGTTACGAGCAATTGAAAATCACGTTTATCGACCTTCATTTTATTGGCAGATGACTCTAAGAAATTTTAGCTTATCAGCTTTTCTAGCTGGTGAGGTGAAAAACTAGGAGAGATAGAACTAAAATACATGTGCAGAGAGGATCTCCACAAAGTGCGGTTTTGCTTAGTGGTGCAAAAGTACGAAGAACGGCTACTAAAATGGCTCGAGTCGAAGTATTGCAATAGAAATCAAAAATTAGAAAAATATGAGGGAAGCAGTTAACAAATGAAATAATAGTGAACTCTTCACGTAAGTTTGGACTTGGGAATAAACCATTCAGTGCGCTGCAGTTTTTCGAAAAAGACGGGAGCAAGGACAGGGCCTGCGAACTGATAAGCGGGAACAAAAGCAGCGACACTCCTGAGCTAGTTCTACATCTACCAGCCTCTTCCAGCCGCTCCGCTTTTATTTACTTACGCAATCGATTCAGTGTTCGAGCGTCACTTCTTGTTATTGTAGTCACAAAATTTTGCAGTTAAATCATAATAAGCACATATGTGTCCCTAAAATACCTGTTTAGGACAAGACGCAGTCAGTTTTGACCAAAAATTTCAAAAAAAAAAGGAACAAAACTCATCAGTAATCTCAGGATACGAAGTTCTGCATTTATCTTTTGTGTAATCGTATTTGAATGCATCTTGAGATATAACGTTTCAAGACACGATGAACTGACAGATCTATAGCCTCGGCATGTTGTACAACAGTAATTTGGTATCCTCCAAAAAAAAAATTAAGCACGAGTTTCGGCAATCTCTGGGAAAAAATCTTTTGCTGAGAACCAGAAATAATAATTGGCCTCACATTCTGATCATTTACCTAAGATTCAACTCCTGAAGAATTTTTAGAGATTAAACACCCAAAAAAGTGCAGCTCGAAGTGCAAGGATTAGCGTTCCTGACTATGTATGAGGCCAACAACTTAAAACCAACATTAAAATTGGTTTGTTTTATGACGTTTGACAAGCTTACTAATTTTATCAGTACTTGGTTGATTGCTAAGAAAGTGATGTAGCTTTAAACAGCTTCAAGTGCACCTGTCCCTCGTAAAAAAATTTTAATAAAAAACGAATTTTGACGATTATTTAAAATACTTGAAGTGGCGGACCAAGTCAAAATCATTTATTTTTTAATACTGTATGCGTTGCAAGACAGTACAAAACAGTACGACTACACCAATATGACGATTAGCAGTAGCTGCTGAAATTTCCTGAGTTTGATCGCTCTGGCTAGTGACCTGTTCTGCTTCCTGAATTCGAAACCTGCGTGAATGAGTATCAGGCCTGCTGTACTTGACAGGCCTAACAACGTTGCAGCCATCTCCGGTACAGAAGCAGTACTCGGCCTGCAACCGATGCACCGGGCTCGTCTTCAGCAGAACCACCGTACGATCGCAACCGCTACGTGCACCACTTATTTTGCTCTTCGGCACCACCAGCGTTGAGCAACCGTGCGATATGCCTAAAAAATACTTCTGAAGAGTACACATTCACTGAAAATATGCAGCTTTCGAGAATTCTGTACTTTTACTAAGAATGTGTCATGTGATCTGACAAGCCGATCCATGCCTGCAACATAGTTCTTAGCCTGACACTCCTCGGATTCTGCACGGCATGGTTTGTAAG